TTCACTGCTTTCGCTCCAGCTCTTTATAGCTTGAACGACTGCTTCTTTCACAGCTTGAGCGTCAATGGCTTCCTCTCCTTGTTCGTCAATCTGCAGAAAAAATTCCCCAAACCACATTTTTACATTGAGTCTCATTCACGAAAATCTTAATTATAAGTTCAAAATGCTACAATATGATATATAAAACCAACATGGAAGTATATGATTAGATGGAAAATTCTCTCACTTTAGGCAATAAACTTGTGACAAAAAAAATGAATGATTGATATGACTTTTAAAAGTGCTACATCTTTGATGGAGATTTGAATGCATAAAATCTTTTAATCGGAGATATAAATGACCTAACTAATTCAGCTCTACTCAAGTCTAAACCTCGGTAAAAAAGAAAGACAAAGAAAAGAAAACCCAATTATGCATGAAAGAATATAATATATAAAGATTGTGAGAGAGAATATATACATGATGACGAGGATAATATATATATATATATATAGAAAAAAGGGTGATTGGAAAATCTTACTTCTCCAATAGCTTGTAATTGGAAACTATCAGTACAGGAAACCCTAGCTTCAAGAACATTAAGCCCCAGCTCTTCAAACACTTCTAATATGGAGACAAGGAGGCCTTGGCAGCTCTTTTCTGAAAATACATTTATAGAAAATCCCTTCACTAGGGTTTCCACTGTAACCTGCTATAAAACACACACATACAAACACAAATTAATTAATTAAATCACCAAACTTTTTTATCAATTACCACACCCTAATCATCAGAATTAGAGAAAAAAAAGAAAAAAAGAGGTTGATTGATTTAGAATACCATGGGAAGTGGATTTGGGTGGATTGAATTTTGAACGTCTTGATTCAATCTTTCTACTTTCTGTTTTAGCTCCTCGATATATTTTGATGCATCCACTATTATCGAGGCCTTGTTTAGCTGCCACACACACAAAACCAAAATCTTTTGTGTTAGAAAATCATTGGCTCTCAAAATTAAATCAACCATTTTCCTAATTTTTTTCTTTTCAAAAAATTACCAAACTAATTATTTTCTTCTACATACATTGGTCATACTAGCTTATAATCAAACTTTTTTTTTTTGAATTATCTCAAAATCCAAAATGGCAAAAGTAAATCTCGATTGAATGGAGAGAAGAAAGAAGAAGAAAATAAGGAACAAGATTTTAAAGGGAATTTACAGCATGAGAGTTGGTAATTGAACGAAGTAATTGGAGCTTCTCATGCAGAACTGCCTTCTTGTGCTCTCTAGAAACCATGGATATGGATGATTCAACCTTCTTTTTTCAATCCTTTTTTTTTTCACAGCCTCCTTATTCCTCTTTTATGAGCCTTCTTCTTCTTCTTCTTCTATCTTTTTTCTCTCTTTGTTCCACTTTAGTATCTCTGCAAAAAAAGAAAAAACTTTGAGGGTGTTTTTATAAGGCCATGATGAGCCCTCAAATCTATATGATCTTCTGTTTGCTAGCTTCCCACATGACTGCTCTCCTTTACAACCAAATATATATAAAATACCATGCCAACTACTCTACTTACTAAATTGCCCTTCTATCATTTTTCTTTTCCTACTTAACATTCTTTTCTTTTTTTTTTCAGTTGTTTTTTTCCTCAATGAATCATTCCCCATTAACAATAACAAGTGTATGCTCACTTTACAGTTTGTACAATTCAAATAAAACCACATCTCAATCTTCCACACACAAACCAACAAATTAACCCTAATGCGTATGTAGTAATGTATATAGTAACTTAAAGTAGTAGTACTACTTGTGACAATTGTGGACAAGAAATTTTGTATAACTTTTGAATTTTAAAAATTTTAAAGACAAATTATAGAGGAAACTTTTACTATTTTATTTTGGGTTTCTTATTTTCTTAAAATTAAATTTAAAAAATGAAATAGTTGATCAAATCAAGCTTCATTTTCTAGGACTTGTCACAACTTTAATTTGAATTTTTTGCTCAATCCTTCACAGTTAACACTTCAAGAGACTATCGTAGATCCCTATAACTAAGGTTTGTTATTTGGGTTGAGCAACACAATGACCGGTGTAGAACTTCAATCCAGTGATACAACAAAGTCCAAGACCCTTGTCACAACGTCATCCTCTATGAGACTTATAGGAGATTGAGACTTCTCAACATAAAGAAAAAAAAGGTAATTCTTGTTTTATTTACTAAACTATGTTCGGATTCACGAATATAAATAGATCGGGGTTATAATTGGGAGGGTTTAGGATGATTGAGAGAGTAACATGGATGGATGTTGAAGGGTAGGGGCAGAATGGAGAAAGAGAAAAAAAAAATGGAGGTGAGAAAATTGTGGGGGCAGAAATAAAAAAGGGCTCGTGATGGTTGCGTTGCGGATGGGAGTGAAAATGGCCATCGAAAGAAGTGAAGGCCAAGCAAGCAACCAAAAGGATGTTTAGTTGTGATTTTTGAATGCCTCCAAACACTCCTCACGGGGGACTTTTTTTTTTCTCTTCTTATTAATTTTCATTTTAATTTCATATATATATTTTTTAAATTCTCTCTCTCTCTCTCTCTCCACACGTGCCCTTCTGCATTCCTTCACACACATAGTTCCTCTTCCAACTTCTTATGCAATGAGAAATTGGAACAACTGTGATCACAACATTCAATCTTCTTGGAAATTGGAACCAAAATATCCAGCTACCAAATCATTCATAATTCATAACATTATTAATTAAAAACAACATTATTATTAAAGTTATTTGCATGCATGGGTGAATGATCGATATAGCCATTAGCGTATAAGCAAATGTGTATATATATATATATATATGAGTTAAAAATATCACGAGAAGTGAATAAAAACATTATAATATAAATGAATACCAAGGTGGAAAAAAAAATTAAAAAATTAAAAGGGGTTAATATTGGTTGGGAAAATTGTCTGGATTGTTGAGAGACAAATAAGGTACCCACTCTCTCTATTCACATGTGTGCCCTTTAATCATTACAACAAAACAATACACACCACACACCAACCCTGCTACTACACTTGTCCCTTCCCCTCTCTTTAATCTTTAATCCTCTCAATTTTAATCGCATTTATGCCTCCCTAATTAATTTTAATCAACCAAGAATAATAATTAATCATAAAAAATAAATAAATAAAACATTTTTTTTTATCTGCTGCTATGTAATTACTGTGATTGACGATTCAGAATTTGGACATGTTCCGGTAGAGTAGTGTGGATTTTGTCCAATGAGCGTGACTGGATGCTTATCGATATATATTTTTATATTTTTATATATTTGTATCAATATCATGATATTATGGAAAAAGAGCAACCCTACAAAACTCACACAGATAAGCTCTTTGTCTTCACCCTATCTTAATTAACACAACTGCCTATTATATATCATTATTACTCTTTCATTTCTTCCTACCCCTAGCTAACCCGAAAAATAATTAAGGTAATCGCTAGACCCATGATTCGGACGAAGATTTTGAATTTGAATACGGTACCTTGGTGGCCCCAGCGGCATTCTCCAACATTCTGGTTGTGCTGATTTCGTGACCAACACGAGTCTTTTCAAGATGTTTTGATGTCACTCACATGCTTGAGAAGACGCTCGATGATCGACTTTAGTTTTGCTCCAAGTTAAGCACGCTGCTCGTGGGTTGGTATTCCCGTTTTGATTTGATTTTTCACATGGTTGCTTTTATGTACAGTGGTAGGAAACCAACCCCCCCCCCCATAATTCCCTGTACAATTCTCCCTCTCAATAATGCACACCCAAGTCCAAAATGTATACTTCCAAACCAATCAAATTGCTTCATTTTATATACCCAATTACACTATACTTTGTCTCTCGCAGCTTCGTTTCTTTGGATCTATATATCTATAGCATCCATGTTATGTGTATTTTCATTCATTTTTTGTGGAGTGGTGCTGAGAGATTCCATTCCTAACACCAAATTTCAAACCAATTTGTATTTTATCGATTGTGTCATCATTTGGTGGGTTGTTCAAATTATTTACTGATCCATCACAAGTATGTGCTTCTTAAGCTTTTAGATTGAATAGTCGATACAGAGTATTCATAATTTGAAAACATCAAGCTTTCTAGCTAATTTCTACTTTTTAAAACAAACCTGTTTAATTTATTTTGATTTCACATGAAACCCATAATGATACCATAAACATAAAACTTAAAAAAGCTTTCAAAGCAAACGTCAACATAACAAAACACTTTTCACAACTTTACAACCCAACTTTCGATGTTGAAGTCAGATTCTAATCAACTTTCATAATCATATAAAATACGTACTTCCAGAGTGCACATATTATATATATATTTATATCCCATAAACTTTATTAACTAATTAATTAATTTTCCAACCTAATAAAGCATGCATCTGCGTGCTTAATTAAGTAGCATTAAATTATTTTAGATTTAGATTTAAATCACCAAAAAGGGAAAAGCCTTTCCAGCCCACATTCTCTGCTCGTTAGTTGCAATAAAGTTGGAGAGAGCCTCGTGGGATGGAAACCATAGTACCTATGATTTGAAATGGATTGTTTTCGAATTTTTAGATTTAATTTTTATAATTAATCATAGTAAAATTGTATCGGGTGACACATAGTTTTGTGATATTTATAATTATAATACAAGAAATAAAATTTTGTAAATATGACAATTTGGTAGGATGAACGTGCGTGTGATAGACACTGTCACCCGTGTCGGGTTTGAGATATGTTTACGAGATCAATTTCCCGAAAACCCCAGGTGTAATTTAGCTGCAAAAGGATAAGATTGGCTATCCCTAGCATTGTTTTGATTAAATAGCACAAAACAATTAGGATGATATAATTGCATTACTAAATCTGCATAAAAAATCCCAACACAAATTCAATTTTCTGCCTCTTAATCGGTTTCATCATATACATTTTCACAGTAGAGAACCCCAATCATGCTAAAAGTATAGCTACTTAGTTTGGAAATAATTCTCGTGACCTATTCTTTACCCTAAGTTAAAGAAACAAGTTCAAGTTTGAACTCTATAGGGGATGAAAAATTCCATTAATTATTGCACTCAATTAGATTAATAAGATGTAATTTTTTTTAGTATAACAATCGTGTGATGAAGATTTGAACTTTCTGCCTCGAAGAAAGGAGTTTTTGTACTCGTTTCCACCGAATAATTTCCTCGATGGTGATGATATATAACTTAACCATATCCGGTTCTATATTTCTAATTTCTATGTGTGTTAAAAATAAAAATATCTATTGTTATCCGTTTTTGTGGAGCAAAGTTATAGGATTCTTGTGACTTGCTACAAAAGGTCACGTGAGTTGCACTTCGGGAAAGTACATTCACATGCAAATGTACAATGGAAACAAAACTTAATAAAAGTATAAAGTTATTGATAAGTGCCTCTCTTGTTCACTTGGGGCCGAGGAGAGAGTTTTTGGTAGGTAAAGAATCTATACAAGGATAATATAATATAAACAACAATGACAATAACAAGTTTTGCTAGTGTATATATGAGAAAAAAGATCATATAAATGAATCAGCACAAGACCAAAGTTTTAATTTGAATATAATTAGGAGCAGGACCTTATTCTAAAGCAGAGGAAAATGTGGGAATATAATGTAAAATTGAGGCAGAAAAAAGGGGTAAAAGGAAAAAAGAAAAAGTGGGTTTGAAGCAGAAGGAGGAGATTTGAAAAGGGTCACTCTCAAAGAGGTCGTCAGTCTTAGAATTGTAGCAGCTACTCTGCTTACGTCAGCTTGGTTATGCTCAGACAGTAATATATAAACTACGCAAACAAACTTATATGACAGCTATATAAAGTTTTGTCTTGTATATTGAAATCCAGCATCTTCTTTCTTTTTCTTCTTCCTCTCAATATAATGCTATTTAAAAAGTTTGATTTAAATATGCAGAAGAAAAGAAAGAGGGCAAAAATTGTGGAGAGAAATGAAGAATTATAATTTAGGGGTGGCCCAAAGAGCAAATGAATCTGTATAAGTAGCAACAAAATATGCATAGCATTAAGTTAGAGGGAGCGTACCATATTGTGTTGTGTGTTGTTGTTGTTACCCCACTGATGGTGACAGAAAGATTTCAACATTTTAGGTCACGGGGGCGGTTTGTAGGCTTTGAGATGGATAGATTTTCAGTACAATATTTCCATTTTTCTTAATTCCCATTTCCCACTAATATAATATATGAATATGTGCAGTGGACGTGGAGTGGAAGTCGCTTGTCCTATCTTCTTTCACATGTTAAGGAACCAGCATATAAATCCAGCAAAAGGACCACATATAATGGCACAACAAGCCTAGCTTACACTGCGAGGGGCCATACCCACCAATACCTTTCATAAAACAGCCTTTCAACTGTTCTGCATCGTTATTGGTTTTTGGATAGTCTCTGAAAGGCACACATTTTTCCCTCTCCACCATGCAATTCTCTTCTTCAACCCCATAAACTAGGAGGAGACTCCTTCTTCTTCTTCTTCTTCCTCTTCCCCTCCCCTCACGCTCCATAACACGGGTCTCGGGACCACGCTCCTTGCATTAGGCTCATCACCCGTCTCGCTAACCTTCGAGAATGCTTCGTTTCCCCTGCCAAAAAGCCAGTTCTGATAAAATTAAGAGAGGTTTATGTAAATCAATTGGGATGCTTCTAAAGATAAGGACTATCCCACAAAATGCATTATCTAAGAATAGACACTATTTCAGCACAGTACTGTTCTTTTACCATCTCATCAAGTGGTTTCATTTCAAATTTTTAATGCATAGTTTTGGTTTTGGATGACATGGACCAGTATTATTACATCCACAACAGGTAATGAGGTTATTGGTGGGGAAGAAGAAGCATGTTAATTAGTTATGAGAGCTCATATCAAAATGTTTTACTTCAGTTATCGCTGCACTGCTACTGCAAGCAATAATTCATGAACGGCCAAATTCCTCCTATGGTAAAAGGGAAAATATAATAAAAAATGAGCAATCTCATTTCAGCTAATTCACGGGGGAAATAGTAAACAGTTGTTAGCATGCTAAATAGAATTCAGGAAACCACTAGGCCACGTTTCTGAGGGAAAGAAATGAAGGATAAAAGACAAAGTTAGAAAGTTGAAACAAAAACAAATAAGAGAGTGAGAGAGAGGAAAAAAAGAGAGATGTCCTCATTTCTACTGCTGATGATTTTGAGAAATTTCTCCCCAAACTTATTCATGTAATGATAAATTTTACTACTTAGAGCATGACAAGATCAGTAGACCCCAGTAAAGTCATAAGCAGAAAGGCTCTATGATTCCATATTAGCACACCATAACAATGCATTACTATAGAAGAGGTCAGACTTCTGATAAGTGATAACCTTCACCAACAAAACAATCATCTAGTCAAAAAGTAAAAGATCTTCTATAGAACCGAGCATCAATCAATGGCACTTTTTATCATTCCCCTAACTTAGGTCATTATTCTTCCTTATCTTATGTAGTACATCACCATATACATTTCAGAACCTGCAGGAGATGAATGCAGAGAATCATATCTGTAAGTCCCACATCCCTTAGCCTCCAAATTTAGTTCTTAAGCATCCATTTGCCTTCACTGTTTAATTTCATATGTTTGGCTGATGCTTATTCTTTTTTTATTTTCCTGTAGGGATTTTGGTTGAAGTGATGGAAGCTTCAATCTGTATCTGTATAGCTTACTCGAGGTCAACATCTTACAGTTCATAACTCAAATCTAGTACATCGATCAAAGAATTGGTCTTCAACCTCAACTCTTCTAGCTTTGCATAAATTTTATCTTTTTCTGGGTGTTGAAGATCTCCTGCATAAAACTTATGCAGTCTACCATTCACAGAGATCCAACTACATCCCGGTTCCTTTTTTACGCCGCGATCTTTCATGACGTGTCGCAAACTAAGTCCATCTTCGTAACTCCCTGATTCTATATAGGTGTTGGATAAGAGAACATAAGTAGCAGAGTTTTCTGCTTTGAAAGAAAGTATCTTCTGAGCAGCAAGCTCCCCCAATTCAACATTACCATGGACCCTGCATGCGCCCAACAAGGTCTGCCAAACCATTTCATTGGGCTCTATGGGCATCTTTCTTATGAACTCAATTGCATCATTTAAACGTCCCACGCGACTTAGGAGATCAACGATACAGGAATAATGCTCCATCTCCGGCTCCAAACCATAGGTTTCCTTCATTAGTTTGAAGTATTGTAGGCCTTCCTCCACCAGACCTCCATGGCTACATGCAAACAGGACACACAAAAAAGTGACAGCATTTGGCTTCACGCCCAATTGCTCCATCTTTCTAAACAGTCGAAGGGCGTCATCCACAATACCATGTTGAGCATGACCTGAGATTATAGCAGTCCATGAAACTGTATCGGCATTAGAGATTCTATCGAAAACCTTTTTTGCCTCAGCCAGACTGCCACATTTGGCATACATATCAATCAAAGCACTTTCTATGAATTTGTCCATATCCAAGCCAACCTTGAAGAGGAAACCGTGAACCTGCTGACCGTACTCGAGTAAGCAAAGGCTGGCACATGAAAGAAGCACGCTAGAAAAGGTGAATTGATTGGGTACAAAACCTTCTTCTCTCATATTTGAGAAGATCTCTATTGCTTTATCCCATTCAGAATATTGAGAGTAGGCAGTCACTAAGGTGGTCCAAGATACTAAATCTCTTTCTTCCATCCTGTATAACACCTTCCTTACATCATCAAGGGATCCACATTTAGCATAGGCATTTGCCACTGCATTGGATATACTTATATGATTCACTTCAAATCCTGATTTTATAGCCCTGGCATGAACCTTCTTTCCCGTCGACAAACACTTCAAAGCAGCTATGGCATTAAATACACTACAGTAAGTGTAGTGGTCCAAGTGAATGTCATTTTGATTCATTTTGGCAAAGAATTCCAAGGCTTTTCCATTACACTCACTCTGTAAATATCCCGAAATCATTGCATTCCATGGTGCATTAACCCCACAGTTCGTGAAATGAGAGTCAAAGATAGATCTTGCCTCTTGCAAAGATCCACATTTAGAATGCATATCAATGAGAGCAGTTCCCACGAGAGTATTAGAGTCTACACCCAACTTAGAAGCATAATGACTAACTTCTTTTGCCTTGCTCACATCCCGTAACATCCCGATAGCTTTTGCAACACCGATAAATGTATGTGCATCAGGCATTGCTCCTTCTCCCTTCATTCTGAGAAAATGATCAAATGCCTCTGAGTAAAGACTGTTTGATGCAAACCCTGATATCATAGCATTCCATGAGACCACATTAACTTCAGTCATGGTGTTAAACACCTTGTACGAATCCTCGATCTTTTGTAACTTCGAATACATATCGAGAAGAGCAGTAGATACAAAAGTATGAGATGCAAAACCTCTACTAACAATCTGGGCATGGACCATTCTGCCCAATTCAATGGACTCCAGACCAATACATATCTTCACAATACCAGAATAAGCAAACTGATCCGGGAAAATTCCCTGATTCTGCATTTCACAGAAGAACTCAAACCCATCGAGGAACAAACCATTCTCAGCTAATCCAACAATTATGACAGTCCAAGAAAATATGTTTCTCTGGGACATTTGATCAAACAGGCGACATGCGGCACCGATATCAGAGCATTTCGAGTAAGCGTGAGCAACATGATTAAGCAAGACCAGAGAGTCTCGGTTTGAAAATTGTGATTTTAACAGAAACCCATGAATAGTCTTTGCTTGTTTCAGAAACCTTATGTCCACACAATAACGCAGGAGATCAACAAGTGGCTGAATTTGAAGCTGGGGATTAGAAATTTTGATACCGGCGGCCGTAATAGGATTTTGGGTGGCAGAATGTGGTGGTGTTAAAGCCAAATTCCTAATCTGTTAAAATTTTTAGCCATTACGCCAATAAATTCCAATTCTGGATGAAGAAGAAGAAATTGCTTGAGGGAATGAGGAACTAGCCTGGTAATTGGAGGTTCGGGAAGGAAAGACAATGGATTGAGCAGGTTGGGCGACGGCGAATTTGATGGAGAAACTCATAATAGTTTCTTCTCGAGCTTTAGCAAGCCACTTCTGCGAGTAGAGTCCTGTTACTGCCTCTGCTTCCGCCTTGGAATTGAATTACTGGTTCTTTCTGGTTCCAAGTTCATCACTTGGATATCCCAATCCGTTTCCCACTAACAATTTAAAGTTTAAAACCTCTGTCTTTAGAAAAAAAAAAAGGGAAAAAGAATTAATAATTTAAAACAAAGCATAGTATATTTTGACCTTACAAAACATTGTATAATTATATATATTTTAGAGGAGAAAGAAAAAGAACAGAATCATTCCATTAACAATTTTTAAGACTGAATAATAATTTTCAATTTATAGATTAAAAAAAATTCAATTTATATGAATTTAAGTTTATGATTTTCAACTGTAAGAAAATTCAAGCACGTACAACGACGCCGTTTCATTACCATTTCGGTCACTCCCCTGCCCATGAGCCGACACGTCGTATAGAAGCGATTGGAAAAGGATCGGTGCAGACCGACTAATCGTAAACCAAGCTGCCCGCTGGTTTCGGCATTTTAACTAGCGGATTTCGGACGGCGCAGCAAAAGCTGAGCGAGGTCGACGGAACAAAAGCTTACTTCCGAAGAAAAATCTCTCACCTGCTTGGACCGTCAAATTCCAGAGTTGACCATAGTAATTTCACCATAATTTCTCTCCCTGCTTTTATTCTTCGTTTGATTTCTCAAGCTCCAAGCAAACTCGAGGAAACAGATTGAAGATGGCCGATCAGCTTGCCAAGGGAGAGGAATTCGAGAAGAAAGCGGAGAAGAAGCTCAATGGATGGGGATTGTTCGGTTCCAAGTACGAAGATGCAGCTGACCTCTTCGATAAGGCTGCTAACTGTTACAAGCTTTCTAAATCATGTAATTCACCATAATCTTTCTCTGCAACTTCTTCTTTTTGGTCCCTTAGATCTTTGCGCCATCGATTCATTCAATTTTTCTCGTCATTATGCATTCACTTGGACTGAACTTTATTGTCTGTTACTTGAATTAAAAGGAATTTATTGTCGATCAAACAGAGAGCTACCTGCTGGTTCTTCTGGTTGGAATTTGACCTACATAGTTGTTTTTACTGAAATTAGAATTTATTTTGACGATCCTGCTAGCAAGGTATGTACTTGATTTGAGCTAGGAGGGTTAGGACTGAATGAGTCAATAATCTGATGGATTGTAAAGGTATTTTTATGGCACAATAAATGCATTTGGTTTATGTTCAGTTTATAGATGCAACTGTCTGTACTCTATCCGGATATACGATGATACAATCTAAGAGTTGTCTACAAATGATAGCTAGACACAGTATAAAAAGGTTTGGATGCGTTAACAATCCAAATTACAATTTTGGATCATATTGTTTGGGAACCAGACACAATAACTGAAAACTATATTTAGAAATCCATAAATGTGTTAGCCGTGCAATGCAAAATGTGAAGGACATAGTGAAAATTAAATGGTTTGGTTGCAGACATATTGGCCAGAGGGACGAAGAAATGTAAACCAAAAGGACATGTTTGAACACTGTTTTTAGATTTTTCTTAATCTTCAAAAGGACATGTTTTCCCCTAAATAAAAAGGACATATTTATTCCCCTAATTGTGGCATCGGTCTCTTTTCTCAGTAGAAAGAATATAAAAACAGTCACTTTCCCCAAAATTATGTAGTCTAATAATTTTGTTATCATTCACAGTTACCTCATCTCTTCTCACTATTTCACCTGTTATGTGGCTTTAATCTCTATGCATCCTGTGTTTTAGGGGATAAAGCTGGGTCAACATATACAAAGTTGGCAAGTTGCCATCTGAAGGTAAGTGCTTCAAATATTTTATAGTGTATTACCTCATAAAATGACCTTTCCGACATCATTTTAGAAATCATTTTTTTGTAGGTGGAAAGTAAGCATGAAGCTGCTCAAGCTTATGTTGATGCTGCCAATTCCTATAAGAAAACATCTATAAAGGGTTGAGTCCCATACTGCTCTTTATGTTTATGTTATTTCCTCATTATAGTATGTCATACGAACACTCGTATGCACAACTTTATTCATGATATTCCAGTACTTTCAGTTATCACAAAATTTACATTTCAATTATAAAAGGTTGTTTAATTTTCCCGTACACATACACTATTCAATTATCTGGCCAATTATGTTCTTTTTAATGTTCCATGCTCTCTTTAATTCTTCAATATTTCTTGATTTGTTTTCTTATTTTCAACATAAACAAAAGAGATTAGAACTCAATCTTTGTTGTTTGAAAAATCATTTTAGTAGATCATGAATAGAGAACAATCATGAGAGAATGGAAAAATACTATAACATTACATCCACGTGTTAAATGGTTTGTTAGAATTGGATTTTATTTTAGTTCTTCTTCTCTGATGGAATATTCTTGTCCATGAGTGATTATCTTTGCAAATTGTCTTATTAATTTTTTTTTTTAACCTGATATTGATTCTTGACGTTAATATAAGTTGCTAACTCAGAAGGACCCAGTAAATAGCCTTCTTGTTCTCCTTATATTTTCTATCTGTCAATGATGTAAATCCAGATATGTTACTATTTCAATTTAATTCGTTAAAGTCATCTGCTACGATCATGTTACTCATCCTTACATTGCTACATTGGTTTTTTTAATCAATTTTTTTAGTATGGACTATGGACATTTGTTGTAGCTAAAAATATTTATTGTATTGCAGAGGCCACTTCATGCATGGAGCAGGCAGTTAATCTATTTTGTGATATTGGAAGGCTCAGTATGGCTGCAAGATATTTGAAGGTACATGTTTATGCTACTTAAACCTCAACTCTTTAGTTTCGCAGGATCATTTAGAAAATTAATTATTCAATAATGTCTTCATTAGCTTTCTTTTTCTTGGTTGAATTTATTTGCTTCTTTTTCTACTTTGAATGTAAGGCATTGTTCAAATTGTAATCATCTTTGGTGATGTAGGAAATTGCTGAACTATATGAGTCTGATCAGAACATTGAACTTGCTATTGGTTACTTTGAGAAAGCTGCAGACTTTTTCCAAAATGAAGAAGTAACAACATCTGCGAACCAGTGCAAGCAGAAAGTGGCACAATTTGCCGCTCAATTAGAACAGTAAGCCTTTCTACTCATCCAATTGTTGTACGCTTCTCTTAATAAATTAATCATGAGTTGTCATTGGCTTAATTCTCAATCATATTTTCCTCTATTTGACAACAGTTTAATGAGGCCATGAGTATGTACATCATGGTTATAAATGTGTACAAGGAAAAACAATATCCTTTATATTTTTCTCAATGATATCCGTATTTCAATGGGAAATATATCTATTATCATTTTAGTATAAATTATAAAACATTTTGTACTATAAAACAAATTTCCGAAAAATTATATTTTTGATATTCTTTCGTCACATTGCTAGAAAATAAATTATAGGATTAGTGTGTATTCTGGTCTAACAGGTGAAAGAATTTTTAGCATGTCCAAAAATCATTACAGATTATACTTAAAAAAAGAATTGTAACAAAACTTCATACAACCCTTTAAATTACGAGGAATGGGATTCCATTTCAGGAGCCTGGCCCTAGGGCTCAACATTAGCTGTCAGGGTATTGGTGATAGATGCTATTGGTAATCTGCTGTGTTTGAGGGTGACTAAATTATTTGTTAGAACAAACGGTAAATATATAGAGAATTGCAATGTATAAATAACCTTGGGTTGGTCTAATGTCAAAAAAGACAACAATTCAAACCTAGATACAAGTCATTGGTTCAAATTATAGTGGTCACCCTCATAAAAGATA